GTATTTTACTGTCCCAACTTCAAATGGAAAAGTTTGTAGGACCCTGCTTCCTGGTGTCATTAATTACCTCTCTTCATTCATGTCTTATTTAACATTATTATGAGGGAACATAGAGCATAGTCTATATTTGGCAAAAGACACGTGTTTATTGCCACGTTTCACAGGAGTACCATCAAGGCTTCCAGAAATGCATGTGGCAATTTTATCTGACATTGGATTATAATTTGTTGAATTTGTTTTAGACTCAAGATCCTCATTTTTGTTTGCAAGCTTTCAGGGTTGGATTCAAGGTAAGTCTAGGAGATTCTGGAATATACAGCGGTGTTGGTTTTGGTTTCCTTCTATCTGTCCTTCCAGCATTCTTATTTCCCTTTCAGCATCTTGCCACTTGTATCCAGTTTGGTCATGGGGAATCCCACAGAGCCCGCCCCTCCTCAGGAAGTGCCCTATGCCCTGGCTCAACCTGGCTCCTTCCCCTTCAGTGGAAACCTATTCTTAATTGACTGAGTGATGGTGGGAAAAAAAAAAATTAGTCTACATCTTTTCTTGTGAAATAAGGAAATTGGTCTAGATGATATCCAAGATCCCTTCTTGCTCTAAAGTCTTGTGATTCTATGATTCTGCCTCTTTTCTGGGCAAAATGAAAACTACTGATTATAAACTTTCTTGGGAACATTGTCGTCTTCCTCATGTTTGTGGAATTATTCTTTTTGTTTTGTTGATGTCTCCCTCTCTCTCTTTTGTATTCTCGGAAATATTATCTGGACCTAAAATAGTATTCTGCTTATAGTACATTTCTTGGAAGACAGGTCTGTCTCAGACCCAGTTTCTGTTTGGATTCAAGCCCCACTGGGACTGATGGGCAGTTTGGTGGCAAGGGGCATGTCCCACTCTTGGTGAATGCATTGCATTATGGCCAGCTTTGCTACGTGCTTCTCCACTCTTGGACTCAGCACGGATCACTGAGTCCACCATAGGACCATTTATTGAAAGGTGTGATATTACTGGTAATATTATGGTTTGATAGCCATGGTCCTTGCAGGCGGCTCTTTGCGAGAGCCCACCTTGGGCTGGTAAGTGAGTGTTATTGTCCATCCTGAAGCCTACAGGCCTCTGCTGAGATTAATTGTTGGCAAACTCTCCCTAAGATCCCTGACTATAAAGCTCTCTAGGGAATGCAAAAGATTATAGTCATTACCCTGATGAAAAGCTGAGCTAATTTTACCTGGATCTGACCCTCTGGTTCCAGGGAGTCTAGTTATTTCAACCCTGTCACTACGATGACACACTCTCATGAGGGCATCGAGAGTGTGATTAGCTGCTCATCAGGTGCCGGCCCCCTAGCATTGCCTTTAGAGCTTACAGATATTTCCCTGGAATTTAAAACGCCTTCTGAAACGTGGGTCCTTCCATTGTCAGTCATCCCTGCTTTGTCGCTGGGCAGTTGGGCCGGAGCCAGAGGGGAAGGACAGGGCATGGCAGACACATGAGTCTGCAGGGGGGGCGCAAGGCAGGAACCCCAGGGGGAGAGGACAGGACAACAGGTGTGGGCACCCAGGGCACAGGCAAGATGATGTTCTCCCAGCAGGGGACTCAGGGGTGGGGGGAGCGTGGAACACAGGCAAACTACCTGCAGAGCCAACTCATTAAGTTTCATGTGATTTTCCAGAGCTTTCTTCTTTGTTTCTGACTGGCAGACACCCACAGTCACACTTGATTAGAGTATTACTTTCTTCGTTACCAAGGCAGTTTTATTATCGAAACCTGGTGAAATATTACAAAGAAAACTGTCATGATGTGCCACATAAAGAGGCCCAGTGAAGAAAAAGAGCTTCTTCAAAAGAGAAGTCATGATTTAGATCACGTTTTCTCAGTACTAATACTGCTGTCTTCGTGATGCAGAACAGATTTGGGGGGGGAGGAATTTGGAATACTAGTTTTAGGGCGCCTGGGTGGCTCAGTCGGTTAAGGGTTAAGTGTTTGCCTTTGGTTCAGGTCCTGATCTCAGGGTCCCAGGAGCCCCAGCAGCAGGGAGCCTGCTTCTCCCTCTCCTTTTTCCCCTCCCCCTGGCTCTCTCTCTGTGTCTCAAATACATAAATAAAAAAAAATCTTAAAAAAAAAAAGAATACAAGTTTGAATTAAACAATGGTTTCAGCACATGGATAAAAGTGAGGATTTGGGGTTAATTAGGAATGAAATGATGTGGCAGGATCCACTTAAGTAATAGCTCTCAAAGGGCCTGGCATTTCCTGAGGTGGAGGAGCTGAGAGTTTTTAAAATTCTCCCTGCTTCCAAATAGTTAATCCTCAGGAAGTGCCCTTTGTTGAAGTCATTCCTGCTACCTGAGATGGTGAATTTAAAAAAAAACAGGCTTGCTTCAAAGGCAGCATGGAGAGTATAGCACTGTAGTCCTAAATGCTCCCCCGCCCAGATTTCTTTGAAGAGACTTGCCCTCTCCTAGGCCCTTTCATGCTTCGGAATGGCAGAGGTAGTCGGCGTACTGGGTGACACTGTCTTCAGGAGTGTCCTTGATGTACACAGATGTGCGGAACCAAACTTGAGTGAAGTTTGGAAGACAGGCCCAGGAAGGATTGGATGTGAAAGTATCAGCACAGAAAACACATATAGCATAGTAATCATACTTTATTCTCCATGAAGTGATCCTTTCCCTCATGCACCACCGCTAGAACTGTTTTTTTCTTTACAACCATTTCTCTTTTAGTTTTTCTTCACTGAAGTTGCCTTGTCCTGACTTGCTCCCTCTATTAGAAAAGACCTATTTATAACATGTATAGCTTTGTTAGGATTGGAAATCTTGACTCATCCATTCTCACTTTTAATAACTACCTAGGCTGAAGATGTGACTCTTGACAAAGTACTCTTGCCGGTACTCAATTTTTGCTCTGGGAAAGACAGAGTGACCAAATTTTATTTCTAAGGCACTAATAAGAGCTAGAAATTATTTTGGAAACAATAATATGCTTAGCCTGTATCTCTGAGATTTCTGCCACTTGACATGCAGGCTCACATGTAAAATAATAGTGAGAATAACATTCGGTGAGAACTTGCTAGGCACCACATAGTGTACATTCTTTACATATATTGACCCACTCATTTTTTACTTTAGGGCTAGTCCTATTAGCATCACCTCAAGGGAAGGGCTAAATGGTTAGTGGTCTGGGTTCAATACATGAACTAAGAATTAAAAGACGGGAGGGGCACCTGGGTGGCTCAGTGGGTTATGAGGGGAAGGACAGGGCATGGCAGACACATGAGACTCTGACTCTTGGTTTCTGCATGGAGTCTGCTTGAGATCCTCTCTCCCTCTCCTTTTGCCCCTCCCCCCACTCGCTCTCTCAAATAAATAAATGAAACCTTTAAAAAAAATAAAGGAAGGGAGATTGATTCTGAACAACATGTAGCAGATGCCCCATTGGATCCAGCTGCCCTGGCATGAGGTTGTGTTCTGGGGACAATGGTGAAGCATGTGAGAATCAAAGAAGAAAAGCCTTGAAATGCAAGCGTAAGGAAACATTGTGGATATGACTGTCATCTGGTCCAGTATGGACGTCACCTCAGCAGTGGATAGCTGTTTAGCTAGTGCGGGGACTTGACGGTGAGCCCAGTTATGGTGCTAGTGGACTGATGTGCCTTTTCATTCTCTCCTTCCCCTAACACTGAGGGAAAAAATGACCCTTGAATTGAACTGTGAAAGCCCTTGTTATTCTCAGACAATTCAGGATTAGGATGGGATGCCATTTTTAGGAAATGGATGCTAGACTTCCTGCTGGGGCCAATGCAGTTTCTAGCAACAAGTTGGAAAGGTAAAGTTGGTCTGACTGTATTTATGCCAGAAGTTGGAAGAAGGTCTTACATCTATGAATAGACATTTCTATGGGTCATTACCTTGTCCAGCAATCTCCAGTGAGTTCCCACTGTATATGGTATTAACCTTCAATTCTTCATACCAGCTTCCAATGTTTTTCTAGTTGTTCTTTTGGGATCTAATATAGATCTTTTGTTGGATCTAAGAAGTCTCCTTTCTGTTTCCTGAATATGCTGTGCTTTCTGATTTGAAGCTTTGCTCCTGACTTATTCTGTGGCTTTTGAAAAGAATATCTCTTCCCCTCCCACTATCCAAATTGTACCCTTCCTCCACTAAAACCCCAGGGCCCTTCATGAAGCTTTTCTTTAGTGCATGTGCATCTTTTCTTTCTTTAAATTCCTGTTGCATTTGCTATCTACTTTGTTCCTCTGTTTCCCTGAGAATAAAGTGCTAATTATCATTAATTACCTACTCTGTATATTTATATCTTTTCACCTTAACAAAGCTTTAAATTCCAAGAGGATAGGGCTTCCAAGACTTACCATTTCCTCTGTATTCTCCACAGGGCAACTTTGATCAAAGGAACAAAAACTATGCACTGAATCAGAAGACTTGAATTTCAATCCTGGCTCTGCCATTTCCTAATTGCGACCTTAGGTGACTTTTTTAAGACTTAGCTTCTTCATCCATAAAATGGAATTAAATTGACAATAGCTATCTCACACGGTTACTGTGAATATTAAACACCAGAAGGTATGGGAAATTAAGTGTGCAAAGACCAGACACATGTAAATTACTAAGAATATTTGCTCATAAAATTTTTTTCGAATGAATGACTATTATTATAACCACACTTTTCTAACCACAGGAAGTTATGTCATTTCAGTTCCTTTCTTAGGGATGCCAGAATATCTCAGAACATGTTGACTTCATTTTAAACATCCCCATTAAAATCATGACCTTCCTTCAAAGCATCATTCGCTTTCCTGTGCAGTCTGGGCCCTGTCGTTAGTCACATCAAAGACGTGCTATCTGTCATGTTTGGGTCCTTCCCCCTGCTGATGTACATTTCCCATCTTGCTGTATTTGTCATCTATGGCAAACCACTCCAAAATGTCGTGGCAGTTAAAATAGTAATAATCATTTATTATTTCTCATTGCTTTGTGGGTCAAAAATTTAGGAGTATCTCACGATATTGTAGTCAGAGGTCAGGTGTGGCTCCGTTACCCGAAGACTTAACAGGGGCTGGAAGATCCACTTCCAAGGTGGTTTACTCATATAGCTCTTGGCTAGGCATTTCAGTTCCTTTCCCCATGGTCCTCGTCCCGCTTGAGTTTCCTCCTGGAATTGTAGAGGAGGAAAAAATCTTTTTTCCTTCTACCCTTCTAGGTTCTAGGCTCGGACCCCTGTAACAAAAGAAGATTAACAAGAGATAAACAGAAGTTTATTAACATGTATATCTTGTATATACATGGGAAATATTTGGGGTTGAGTAATTCAAAGAGGTGGCTAGAATTGGAGTTTAAATACCATCTTTAGCTAAAACAGAAGAAGGGTTTGGGGGAGGCCAGTTATGGGAAGATGAATAGGAAAGCGCAGTAAATAAGTGTAAGGTTTATTACGTAGATTTAAGTGTCTTCTCCATTGATAAGAGTCTTTTGTGATTTAGAGTGATCTTCTTCCTGGTACAAATAGGGAGACATCTTTACAGATGGAGATTTTCTTTATAAATATAAATTTGCCTTACCAAAGGATAACTTCTACTCTGTTTCCAGAGCTTCTCCTGTGTTTACTGTTTCTCAAAATAATCTTGAAGCCAAGGAGACATGTTTTGAGGTGGTGCATTCTGGTCCCCTACTGTATGATACTTGGCTTCCCCCCAGAGTGAATGAACCGAGAGAAACCGGAATGCTTTTTATGACCTAGTCTTAGAAGTCACACACTGTCACTTTTGCCATATTGTACTAGTCACCCGGAGCAGAAATAATTCAGTTTGGTGGTGGTGGGGTAGTGGTGGCTAACATTAGAGGCCATCTTTTTTTTTTTTTTTAATTAGAGGCCATCTTTTTTTTTTTTTTAATTAGAGGCCATCTTTTTTTTTTTTTAATTAGAGGCCATCTTTTTTTTTTTTTAATTAGAGGCCATCTTTGAGACCAGAAACCAATGGTTTCTGTTTCTCCTATTTAAAAAATATATTAATCCCCTTCCACAAGATCCCTGAATCTCATGCTATTACAGTATCAGCTCAAAGTCCAAAACGGCATCATTTAGGTCAGATCTGCGTAACGCTCCTTAATAATGTTCCTCAAGATCTGAAGACCTGTGAACTAAGGGGACAAGTCTTCTGTCCCCTTAATGCCCAGTATCCAACAATTAAGGGAAAGGCATAGGATAATAGCAATCTAACTCTTCAAAAAGGAGAGAAAACAGGCGTCACACAGTGGTCAGTGGTCTGTGGCAATTCTACAATCCAGCTAGGCCCACACTGCCAGTTCCTTGATTAGGGCTCGACCCTATTGCCTGGGAAGGATTCTCCAAGACTCTTGCCTCTGCTCTCTGGGCTCCTGATTCTAACTTCTGAGTCTTCCTTTTTCCTATGAAATGACTAGTATTTGCAGCTGAGTGGTTTTTTTCAACCTGCTTCTCGCCCAAGGTGTTTGGGGATTCAAAGCTCTCTCATTTTTACTGTCTCCGTCCTTTTAAATCCAAGAAGACATAATTCTTTTTAAAGTTTTGTGAGTTTTTTTAAAAAAATATTTTATTTATTTATTTGACAGAGAGAGACAAAGCAAGAGAAGGAACACAAGCAGGGGGAGTGGGAGAGGGAGAAGCAGGCTTCCTGCGGAGCAGGGAGCCCGATGCGGGGCTCGATTCCAGGACCCTGGGATCATGACCTGAGCCGAAGGCAGAGGCTTAACGACTGAGCCAACCAGGCGCCCCAAAGTTTTGTGAGTATTTAATGAATAGATTTATAATCCAGTCTATTAGACTGAAGCTACACAAACACATTTTTTCAAGATAGACTCCCCTTCACCTTGATCTTCCTACAAGGTTACTGAGAGATGTCATCCAGAAAATAAAGAGCCACAGTGACAGGCAAATGAGTGTTTACTTAGGATTAAAGGATTGCAATTCAAGGAGCACAATTCATTTAGATACCTAAATAGTGCTCCTGCTTACAGGAGAAAGCAAGGGGTTTTTATGAGGAAAAGGAAGCAGAGTCAGGGGACTGCGTAAGTTAAGAAGAGAAAAAAATGTTTTCTATGTGTGTTTACAAGCTAAGCTACTCTGGGTTATACATCGACTGACCACTGATTCTATTTTCAGAAAGTCCACAACCATCAGTCTTGTGATCAGGATGTCTGTTCTGCTGACTTCTCAAACAATTGCTTAAAACAAGTGCCATTTTGCCTGGTCCAAAGGTTTAGGCCCAGTTCAAACAAAGGTGGATAAGGCAGTTTCTCTATAGTAGTTTCTCTGACTTTATTTTAAAATGGCACCAGTCATGTCAATTTTTCACCAAGACATAACCTTTAAGAGTCTTGGAGGGATTTTTGCTTAAAGGAGCAAATCTGTGTTTCTTAGTCTTAGACCTTAGAGGACCTTTTGTCTGACTGAGTAGTTTTTCCAGGTACTGCCTGAGATCTTTCTAAGGCCTTAAGAAAGGATCGTATGGTTCTCCACTGGATTTGGTCTTTGTCCTGAAGTGATTTCTTAATTTGAGAATCTTGGGAAGGCTGAGAATGGGAGAGTTTCATTTTTGAACTCAGCAAGTCTTGGCTTCTTTATATTTAAACGTTTTTCTTCAGCTCATCTCTCCTCTCATATTTTACTGTAAGGAGCAAAACGAAGCCAGGTGGGACTTGTAGCAACCTGCTGGAAATCTCCTTAGCTAGATCCTCTAGCTCATTAGATACGTTTTCTACTTTGCCCATTACTGCAGGCCACAGTACTCCTAACATTTCTGCCACTACATAGCAAGGACACTCTTTCCTCCAGCTTTCAATAACATTTCTCACACTTCCTTTTTTTCTTTTTCTCTTAAAAACAGACTTTATTTTTAGAACAGTTTTAGGTTCACAACAAAATTGTGCAGAAAGTAGAGTTCCCAGGGGCCTTCATCCCCATGATGTAGTTTTGGAATATAGGTGAGGTTTGGTGGGGTGGGGTCTGGAGCCGAGGGCTGAGAAAGAATTCTTGAGACCTCTTTGGTGCAAAAAGGTGGTTTTATTAAAGCATGGGGACAGGACCCCTGGGCGGAAAGTCCTGCACTGGGGTTGTGAGGAGCAATCGGTTATATACTGTGGGGTTGGGGGAGGTAAGGAAAAAGGGAGGTTTTCAAAAAAACTTTCTTATGCTAAAGAGAACCTACAAGATCCTGGAGGCCTTGCCATTGTCAAGTTAAGGTTGTTTTTCCCTCTAGCAAGGCATTTAACATTAAGACAGTTGGGAGCTTCCTGGAGGAGATGTCACACATGTCCCACCCAGGAGGGCGGGGGTGAGGTTGCGGGCGGGTCAGCTTGTGCTTTGTCCTCAGTTAGCCTTCTGCTCCTTCATCACCCACACAGACACAGCTTGCCTACCATCAGCATCCCCCACCACAGTGGTATATTTTTTACAATCGACAAACCTACATTGACACATTACCATCCAAAGTTCATAGTTTACCTTAGGGTTCACTCTTGGTGTTGTATATTCTATAGGTTTTGTCAAATGTATGGTGACATGTATCCACCATTATAGTATCATGCAGTGTAATTTCACTGCCCTGAAAATCCTCTGTGCTCTGTTTATGCCTCCCTTCCCCCTAATCACTGATTTTTTACTGTCTCCATAGTTTTGCTTTTTCTAGAATGTCATACAGTTGCAATCATACAGTATGTAGCCTTTCAAACTGGGTTCCTTCACTTAGTGATATGCATTTAAATTTCCTCCATGTCTTTTCATGGCTTGATAGCTCATTTCTTTTTGGTATAGAATAATATTCAATTGTCTGGATGTACCACAGTTTATTTACACATTCACTCACTGTTTTTTATTTTTATTTATTTTATTTTATTTTCACTCACTATCTTTTAAACTCTTACTGAAGCACATCAGGCTTTCATAGCAGTCTCTTCCAAGTCTTTTAGGTTCTTACAAACATTTTTCTCAAGGTCCTTCCAATGTCTAAGCAAGAGAAGGAACGCAAGCAGGGGGAGTGGGAGAGGGAGAAGCAGGCTTCCCGCCGAGCAGGGAGCCTGACGCCGGGCTCGATCCCAGGACCCTGGGACCATGACCTGAGCCGAAGGCAGATGCTTAACGACTGAGCCACCCAGGTGCCCCAAGCCACTCACATTTTAAATTTTTGTTAGAGTAGCATCCATTTCCAGGTACCTAAATCTATATCAGTTAGGATCTGATCAGAGAACCATTATCTATCTCTATGTCTGTGTCATGTTTGTGTCCTATGTTCATATCCATATCCACACTACGCCACATCCTCATCCATGTCCACATCCTCATTTTCATCCATACCCAGATCCATACCATATCTATATCTACATCTATATCCATGTCCATATCCACCTATCATCTATATCATCTGTATCTATCTCAGTATCCCTTAGTATATAAACATCAACACACAAAAGGAATTTATTTTAGGGATTTAACATCACGCAATTGTGAGAGCTGATTGCACAATTTACATGAAGCTTTTGTTTCTTTGTCTGGTAATGGAGCCTGAAGTGCTCAGAAGAGGCAGTTGAAGGCGAAAAAACACTGAAATGGCCCTGAGTCAGTCCCTTCCTGATTCCCTTTAACTCAGGTGATGGGCATATCTTGCAAGAGAAGCTGGCACTCTTTGTCACAGAGCTAAACGTGCACCTGGCCCAGGATCCGTAGAAGCTGAAGTGGGAGATCTATCTGGAGATGGAGAAGTTGTGCACTTGGCTGCTACCCTGTGCCACCCAAGAGAACAGCATGGAAGCATGATGTCCAGGAGCTGCAGCTATACCTTGAGCCTGACATTGACCTTCCCAGCACAAAAGGAAGATGACTGCTCCTCCTCTTTTGCCTTTCAAATGCTGTCTTTTGTGCTTCAAAGTCACCTAGTCCTATGTAGAGAAGGGAACTCTGGGAGATTTAGCCAAGCTGACATAATACAAATCTACCACACTTGCCTATGTTCTTGTCTTTCCCCATCCCATACATTCTTTATTTC